TCTAAGAGTTTATTCAGGCTTGAATTTCTAAAGAGCAAAAAACTATAAATGCATTTCCAGTTCTAGAGTCAAAGCTTTCTGTTACAGCAACGAATGTCATCACTTTTGGCATGCCACATATTGAATGCTGGCAGAGAGGGGAAGACCCTAAAAACCGAGATGCAGCTTTAGTTGTTTCTTTGCTTGTCAAAACCACTGTATCCCTATTCTAGGTGCATCTTCAATCAGTAAGTTAATCAATAGCACTAGAAATCAGAATCAGGTGCTTATTCCACACAAGTGAGTAACAGCATTATTTATTATACAGCAGGGATGCACCTTTTGGGAATTAAAGGATTTAATTGTGGGTTCTGACTTGGTATTAACATGAAAAAATTTGTCCCCTCCTCTTAAGAATGTGCTCTAGATAGGAAAACTTTGAAGGAATTATCAGCATGGTAAGATTATGATTCCAACCTACTTTTGTAGTTCCTTGGCCTTCCTACATGAAACTAGCATCCATGTCCAGATGGAAAAGGAAGACTATTTGCCACTGCTGTACAGTTTCCTGGTTTGAATGTAACAATGTGTTTCAAGTCTTTTGATTAAAAAAACTGGAGTGTATAAAAATTGCTTAAAAAAAAATAAACGGTGATCAGATACTTAGGTTTGTCTCATCTCTGTTTCATTTTCACACTTCACACACAGATGGTCAGATGAGAAACTAAAAATAAAAGGAAAATGTCACCAAACCATCCCTCCCACAACATTCTCTATTCAACTGGTTTCAATAATTCATTGCAATGGCCAAACAGTACTCAAACATGGTTGGTACCCAAGAGTTATGGAGTTTATTACAGAAGATACAATTCTGAAACAGAAACGTCCATAACACAATTCTTCGTCAGGACAACCTCTCCTCAGGCATGCCCACAGGCAGGCTTCTCTTTGCTTGAACAATAGTACAAAGTTCTTTGTGTGCTGCTGATAAATGCCCTACCTTCCCTATAAGCTAAAGGCACTCAGCTCTAGCTCAGTGGATCAGCAAACATAGCTCTCCACTTAAGTGCTCTGAAGCAGCCCACTCTCTCTAGCTTCCTGCCCAGGCAATCAGATTTATTTGCTCCATTGACCAGGAAAGCCATCATTTTGTCTCATGTTGTGACTCTGTGTTCTACTGCTAACACTCTTCTGACACTCCTCTTGTGTCACAGTTCTGTCTTCTGAATCAAGGAGGTTCAACACACTGGGATGTTGGGGTCATATGTGCCCCACTCCTCAGTCTTCTTTGATGGTAGTGAGATCCCCCTTCCTGCTTCTGAGATGACTCATTTTATATCTGCATTTTAAGTTCCAAGTTTTTACAGTCACAGTTAGCCCTGTTAATAACCATTCCCACCAATTTATCGCATTCCATCAGCATCTTCTCTCACCTTCTTTGGTGAGAGTTATAAGTTTTATGGGTATAAAAGTCATCCATTTCAGTGCAGCATCTAACGTAAGTGGCTATATTTCAAGTTCCTAAAATTCATAAGCAATCCAGAATACACTAAGAATTTTTAAACTCAAAAGTTAGAGAAACAATTTAATATAAAAATCAGCAAATGGAGGAGGCGGGGCTTGATGTCAGATAGGGTAGAAGTGCAGTGAGGATCTCCGGCAGCAATAACACAGAATACCGGATGACACAGGTTTAGAGGACAGTTCCTGAAATCTGAACCA